CCCTCACACGTTTCGTGGCTCCATAGGGAGCTCCACCGAAGGCCCCAGTGCCCGCGGCCGCATGCGTCCCCCACACCAATTTCGGCACACCCCTCACACGTTTCGTGGCTCCATAGGGAGCTCCACCGAAGGCCCCAGTGCCCGCGGCCCGCATGCGTCCCCCACACCCATTTCGGCACACCCCTCACACGTTTCGTGGCTCCATAGGGAGCTCCACCGAAGGCCCCAGTGCCCGCGGCCGCATGCGTCCCCCATACCCATTTCGGCACACCCCTCACACGTTTCGTGGCTCCATAGGGAGCTCCACCGAAGGCCCCAGTGCCCGCGGCCGCATGCGTCCCCCACACCCATTTCGGCACACCCCTCACACGTTTCGTGGCTCCATAGGGAGCTCCACCGAAGGCCCCAGTGCCCGCCGCCTGCATGCGTCACCCCCACCCATTTCGGCACCCCCCCCGCATTTCTCGCACGGCAGGGTCATCACCACGGTGGCGTGCCAGGGACGCACCGTGCGCGAAGGCGACGGGGCGGGGGAACGGCGCTCCGGGGGCGGTCAGACCTCCGGGGCGCGAGCAGTCCGCGGCCAGACCATCTCTCGGTCCTGTGGACTCTCGCCCTGGGCCGTCGGCTGCCCGGCGCGCTGCTCCCTCGGTCGACGTCGCCCAGGCGTGATCCTGGATTGCGGCCGCCACGAGGTAGGGAACGGCAAGAAGGAGGACGACGACTGGTGGCTGGAGCTCTACGTGCTGCTCTCGCGCGCCACGCGCCACGAGGACCTCCTGCTCATGCGGGCGCCGCGCATCGAGTTCTTCCTGGCAGGGCCGCCGCAGGGCTTGCGGAAGCAGCTGGAGCAGTTTGCGGCGCGCACGAAGCGGTGCAGGAGGGAAGCGACGGCCCTCGCCAGGGAGCTCGGCTTCACCGAGTTCATCCGCGAGGCCTGACCTGAGGAGCGTCTCCCCCGAGCCGCGCCTTCTCTCGACTGCCCGACTAATTGTTTGGCCTCGCGCCGCGGACGACCCGCGCGCGTCGCTGGGACCCTCTCGGGGCGACCAGCGCGCGTCGCGGGAACTCCGTGCTGCGGGGGGCCCGGCGCCTCGTTCGCCCGTCGTCGCTCTGCCCAGCGGTCAGAGACTGGCCCGCTATCAGCCAGCCAGTTAGCTAGTCAGCTCTCTCTGCTTCGCGCAGCGGACGATCCGCGCGCGTCGCTGGGACCCCGCCCGGGGCGACCAGCGCGCGTCGCGGGGACTCCGCGCTGCGCTGCGCCCGCAGCCTTGGATTTTGGAGTGCGCGGGCAAAGAGGAAGGAAAAGAAGAGCCGAAAGCGGGCGCGATCCTCGCAAGAGGCGTGCCGACATGGGCGTCGCGACGTGCGGACGCTGCCGTCGGGGTTCCCGCGGAAGCTGCCTGCGGCGGCCACGCCCAGTGTCACGTGTGTTCGGACAGGCATGCTCGACACTTACACTAGGCGGTTCCATGATCGCATTCATGCAAATATATTCACTCGCGCGCAGACCCATTCATACTCAGATTCCCTCGCGCTCTGACTCACCCGCGTTCTTTCTCTCGTAATCAGATCAATCGTATTCCTTTGCGTTGTGTACCCCGCCACATTTCGGCACACCCCTCATGCGGTTCGTGGCCCCATAGGGAGCGCCACCGAAGAAAATACTCCCAATTGCGATACTCACAACTGCATATGGTTGGGTCCTTCGCCAGGATAATTCGATGTTTCCCGACCCCCCCCCACTGGAAATCGAGGGTAAATCTGAGCCTTCGGGTTGGGTTGGGGTGGTTCGGTGGGTGGTGAATGATGCCTCTCCGCTTCCGCCGAGCGGTGCCGCCCCAGAGGAGGAGGCGCCCCCTCCGGGCGACGGCCAGCAGACCGCCGCGGGCGCTGGGGCAGGGAGCGAGCCGCTGGCCGGGTGTAACGGGGGCGGCCAAGAGGGGGGCGTCCAAGAGGGGGGGGTGCAAATCATGGCCGGCGGCATGTGCGCGGCCCTCCCAGACCCCCTCGAGTCATGAAAAAATCACGACGGGAGGTTTTTCCACATTTTCGGCCTCCAGGGGCCCCTACCGGGCCTCGGGACCGTCAAAAAACGACTCAGGATGAAACACTGGTCCTGGGGAATGGGTCCAAACCTCTGGGGGTCGACGTTATGAAAAAATCATGACGTTGGGGGTCTGGGCTTGGGGGGGGGCCAGGGACGTAATGAAATAAGAAGAAGCGCCCTGGAATCTGGGGAAACATCCTGGCCCCCGCCATGATATCCCCCCCCCCCCCTGGTCATCACCCCCCTGTTTGCCGCCCCCCCGAGGGTAACGCTACAGCCTTGGCCCAGGCCACAATCTTGTCTGCTCTGGTCCTGCCGCAGAGTTCTGCGGCGGTGCCCTTCTGCACGGTCAGTTTGCGGTGCGACAGCTCGGATCTCTGTATCTTCCGAATCCGGGGCGTACTCCAAATCCCGCATTCATCGTCCCCCGGGTCCGGTTTTTTGAGGCGCCTTTTTTGTGACTGGGGGGGTCCGGTTTATTAGGGCGCTTTCTTTGGATTGGAGCTTAGGGGGTCCCGTTCATTAAGGCGCCCCGTCGAAGAAGGGGGTCCAGAATATTAGGTCGCATTCGGAGGGGGTCCCGGTTTTTTAGGGGGTGTGTCGATTAATCAGGGATTTGGAGTACGCCCTCCTCGCCGTTGGTGCGCGGGAGCAGACAGAGACCACCTCCGAAGGAGCGCGCCCCCCAACTCTGGCGCGGAGCTGGCGGAAACTGTGATGATAACCCATTCTTCCTCCTGCCCCTGCCTGCCGTCGGGCCCCGCGCTCGTCCCTCTCTGCCCCCCCCCCTTTCCCAGTCGCCCGTGCGCTTCCCACTTCGAGTGTGTCACATCTGGTGACGGTTCGTGGTAGCACGTATCTACAGTCGTGCCACGAGGCACCCCAGAGCAAGCACACAAGAGGATTTGGTAACCCAGGGCGCGCGCCACACACACACACACACACACAGACACAGACACAGACACAGACACAGACACAGACACAGACACAGACACAGACACACACACACACCAGAGGATTTGTTCCTCCAGGGCGCGCCGCACGCCAGAGGATGTTGTTCCGTCGGGCCACCTTGCCCTCCAGGGCGGTGACACGAGGAACTGGGCCCACTAACGGGGCCAAGGCGCCCCACAGCCATATCATCTCAAATCCTCCTCCTCCTCCTCCTCCTCCTCCTCCTCCTCCTCCTGGTCCTCGTTGGCACCTTCCTCCTCGCCCTGACAAGGGGAACGCTCATCCTCCTCTTCCTCCCTCCCGTTCCTCCCCGCTGCTCCTCCCCCCCGGTCCACACCGAGCGCGGGAGGTCGACGTCCGCCAGGGACGCGCAGCCGAAGAACGCCCAGCTCCCGATGCTCTGCAGGCAGCTCGGCAGCTTCACGAAGGCGAGCTGCTTGCAGCCGGAGAAGACGTTGTCCTCGATCGCCGCGAGGTCGGCGGGGAGATTGGCGAAGCTCATGGAGTAGCAGCCCAGGAAGGCGCCGCTCCCCAGCGCGGAGACGGCCTCGGGGAGGCTCACGGCGCGGAGCAGGTCGCATCCACGGAAGGCGCCCTCCCCGATGCACGTAAGCGAGGCGGGGAGCGACACGGAGACCAGCATCCGGCAGTCGCAGAAGGTCGAGTGTTACTAGAAGTGCCCCTGGGCCAAGGTGCCCCAAGCTTTTCGCTCCGTTTTGGGGCCCCTGGGGCCCTCTGGGCCTTGTGAGGGGTGCCCTGGAGGCCGTCTGGGCCACCCCGGGATTCCTGGGGGCACCTTGGGCCAGGGGCACTTCTAGCAACACCCGAGAAGGCGCGGTCGGCGATGCTGGTCACGCCGTCGGGCACGCGGACGGAGACCGGCCCGCGGCAGTTCTGCAGCGCCCTGCCGTCGACGCAGACAATCTCCTCGACGTCGCGGCTGATCTCGTCCTCTCGTGCGCAGCAGGCGATGCTGCCCATCTAGGCAGGCGCAATCGCGATGCAACCTGCAGAATCGGCGGTAGTGCGAGACCTCCCTGGAGTCGGGTCTGGTTCAAAGGCGCAGACTGCGCCCTGGTCCGAAAGCTTACGAGGAGAAGAAGAGGACGAGGATGAGGAGGGAGGGGGGGAAGGAGCATGAGGAGGAGGTGAGGACGGGGGGGAGAAGAGAATGAGGATCACGATGAGCCAGATGAGGAGGCAGGGGATCATGAAGGGTGATTCTCTTGGGATCTCGGGAGCTCTCGGCGACATCCACTTTGCTCTCCCCCAGACTTGCCGATTCGGGGTCGCAGCTAGACGTTGGCAAAGGCCCACCGAATCCTACGGCGAGCCGTGAGGCAAGACACGGCCTC